AAAAAAACCGACTGATACGCCGAACCCCCTTGAGAAATATTCCGGATGCGTTACTAGTCCGTCTGGTTGATTTCCCTTTTTGGAGGGGACAAAAACCCGGCAGAGCTCTGGCCCTGCAGAGCCAGTTCTCAGTACGATATCCAGATACGTGAAACCTGCCCTCCTCTTAAAACCTAACACTAAGACTCAAAAACAGGGCCAACCTGTACTCCGCAAAAGGGGAATTCACACCATGTGCCTGATTTGATCCCGATCTCATACCGCTATCAAAGCGGATGCATATCTCAGGGCTGACTCGGACATCGCTTTAGCTGCATCGGCTTAGGGTAGAGGAGGTCGTGAAGCTCAAAGTCGTTGAAGCTTCGCACTGAACCAAATCCAGATCTGCAATTTAAGCCGGTAGAAGAGCACAGCACTTGGTCTAGAGACATTCTCACGACGTACAGCGACGGGGTCATATTCGGCCACGTTATCTCGAGATCAGTACCCGGCCGAATTCGGGTTTTTTTCTATGTAGCCACGGAAGGAGTATATGGTATAATGAACTGCCCTTTGGCCGCTACAAGACTTGGCATTTGAATGTCCGGGTATGACCGGACTCGCCGCTTCCCAGGTCTCTTCTTATAGGGGAAGATCTTGAAGCGAGTAGCGGTCCATTCTGGACTCGATTTTCGCAAGTTGTTGGTCAAGAAGCTCCTTGGTAAAGTGCCTGGTCTCGACGTTCACCTCGAGCGGCCCACGAACACCAAATATATCGTCGCACAGCGTGTGGATTGTTACGCGTCTAATAGCAGCTGCGGTAGACTGGAAGCTCGAGTCCCCGAAATTCGACCTCGCGACTGAAGGTGGCCATAAGCCTAGTTTCGACGCACTGCCCAAGAGACTTCTAATCACCATAGAATCACAGGCCATCATCTTCTTCTTGGAAAAGGCTCCAACGTAGTTCCTGCAATTCGGTGTGGCTTGGACCCTTTTTATTTCGTAATTTATGAGTTGAATTGCATTTTCAATCGCACGTTGGCGGTCCGAATTGATATGTTCTGATCAAATATAAGCTGGAAAGTCACTCGTCGGGTTTTAATTGCGGTGCTTACCGATCACGGCAGAAGGTATGGGCAACCGTCGAGTTGTAGCCAGATTTATTATTTCGTGAGTCGAGGTTCGCCGTGCTGTGTGGAGGGCAGTGTAAAATGCCTCTTTGTGTTTGAACACCCAGCCTATTGCCATCCAAGGGAGAACAAAGTTCGGACTGGTACTCGAATTAGAATTCTATTGTCTGAGAACCGTCGGAAAATCGCTCTGAATGTCCATGACTGTTGACGGTAACTAGTAGTTGCTAAGAGGGTGATTGTAGCAATGGATCCACTCACTCGTAAGGAGTCGGAATCAGTTTCACCCCCTTATCTATCCAAATTTTGGCGTGATACCTAAGAGCGGCTACCATTTGATACTTGTCGGCAAGGACGGACATAGAAATCATAAACACGAGACCTACACGGCACGGGACATATTCCAAACGGCAATGAATAATGTTGAGTATCACTTCCCACGCGGTAGGGTCGTCATCATCCAGAGGCAAATTCAATTTCCCGGTAGTACTGAGCTCATGTCCCTCTTTGAATCCGGGCCTGAACATAGCCTTGAACACGGGGGAAACCAGAGCCAGATGCTTGGATGACACCAACATTTCCACCTTTCTTGGTGTGACTTTTGCGATATCCTGGGGCTTGTTGGTGACTTTGGCCACCGCGAGTTTCTCGGATCCGGAGTCGCGGCACAGATAATCTTTCGGTGCTATAGGCGCTAATGGGCAAGAAAAACGAAGAAGCACATCCCCGTCGGGGTCGAAGATAATTCGTTTAGGGCCGGGCATTTGGAACGTCCGAGCCAGTTCTTGACAGCAAGATCCCCCGTGAAATAGATGTTGAGAAAACCGAGAAAACCTCCCAGAAATTTAGAGATTGACCCTTCAAATAAGGCCGTCAGGTGTACTAAGGCTACCTAGCTAGCTTAAGCGAATTCGAGCTAGCTTACCTACCTGGTAAGACAAGATAGCTTCGGCCACTAGGCGCACAGATCAACAGCTGGGACGTACAGGTACTGCTAATCGTCGGCTCAGTCTGAAAGGATGTAAAGAGGCCCACCTAAGCGAGCCGACGATTACTGTACGGAGCAATTTCGTAGCTAGCTTTCTAGAGAGCCTCGCATCGCCAAAACACCACGATCTCGAAACCCACATCAAGGAGTACATATCCCGCGCGTCAAACCCGACCTACACACAGAAATACAACTACTCTGTCCAACTCTTGAAATCAAACCCTCCTTTCCCTTTTTCCTCCTCTTCTATATTCAGAGTTCAGAACCCACAGTTCACACAAAGGAAGGGTGGGGAGTGTGGCATGAGTGAGTAGACAGGCAAGATCAGAACCAGGAAAAGAAATATGATGCCATTCCAATTCTCAATAACCCTGATCGTATATGCTCTTGTATATAATATATATACTCCTCTCCTCATCTCCCCTCCCCTCCCCACTCACTCTGCCAAATCTAATGGAACTGGTCCTCCGTCACGCCCTTGCCCATTGCACTCGTGCTGCTCACACCTCCCTGCACCATCTTCAGCAACTCATCGACATAGTTGGCCCCGGACCACTTCTGATGCTTCACGACATCCACGCCGCCGTCCATCTCGGGCTCCTGCACTAGCTCGCCGTACGCGCGCATGCCCTGCTTGCTGTACGCCTTGGCGAACTGGTCCGAGATCAGGGCCGTGGTGTGCAGGCCGGCCAGCGTGATGAACTGCCAGCAGTAGCCCAGCTTGGACAGGCGCTGGATGTACGTCTCCTGCTCGGCGCGCGGCATAGCCGTCTTCCAGTTGAAAGACGGCGAGAGGTTGTACGCGAGCTTCTGCTCCGGGAAAACGGCATGCACGCCCTTGGCGAACTGCGCCGCCTGGGCGTAGTCCGGCAGTTTGCTCTCCATCCAGATGGCGTCGCAGTAAGGCGCGTACGCCAACGCGCGGTTGATGGCGCACTCGCAGCCGCCCTGGAGCCGGTAGTAGCCCTCACGCGTTCGGGGCGCGTCCCAGTTCCACGGGACGTCGACACCGATGATGCCTTTGGCGATGGCCCGCGCCTCGGTATTGGACTTGCCCTTGACGGCCGACAGGAACTGCGCCGAGAGCTCCTTCTTATTGACGTGCACGCCGGCCGAGATGGTATCGACGACGGCGTCGTTGAAGAGCTTCAGGCCGGCTTGAGCGGTCCAGGCGTCTTCGATGGCCTGCAGCTCGGCACCATTCTTGCCGGCGCGCTCGGCAGCGATCATGAGGTCGTTGAGCGGCTGGAGATTGGGGTTCGTGGAACCTAGGATGTAGGCGTGGTCACGGGGGTCGATGGTGGTGGTGATGAGGGTTGCGGCCTCGGCGTCTGTACGGGCGATGGCCAGGAGGTCGGTTCCTGGGGAAGCTTGTCAGTCCTCTGTTTTTGTTTGCAAGTTGTTCTGTCTCTTTCGTTTCATATTTTCCAGACTGGAAAAGGAGCAGGCGGGAAACATACCCATGATATCAGCCTGTGCTCGAATAGCGACCAGACGGTTGATGTGCTCGCTAATCGGCACCAAGACCTTTCCAGCCATATGTCCGCACTTCTTCGTTCCAGGAGCCTGGTCCTCAATGTGGATACCAGCCGCTCCCTTCTCGATGAAGAGCTTGGTGAGCTTCATGACAGCGGTCAACCCTCCGTGTCCGGTGTCTGCATCTGCGATGATGGGGCGCAGGTAGTCAATGTTGGCCAGCTTAGCGCGCTCGGCTTTCGACTTGGTGGTTACGCGCTCCTCCCGCTGCTTGCGGTCGTGGAATAGCTGGGCCATGAAGAGATGGGAGACTTTGTTTGGGACGGTGGTCTGGCGGAAGTAGTGAGTACGGCTGTCTAACTAGGGAGGTGGGAGGAAGGAACCTACATATGGGTAATCTGCCAGATCTGGACCTGGCTCGTCCGACGCTGGGGCGGTGGAGGATGATTGCCAGCCGGAGACGTAGACGGTGTCGAGATATTTTGCCATCTGGGTCAACATGGTCGGCTCCAGACATCCGTATGTGAAGCTTGCGTCTTGGGTCTACATGTCTTTCAATCAGTACTTGCCCACCTGCCCGGCTCGGGCTGATCTTCTCAGAGAGGACATACCTTGAATCTCCCTTCGAGGATATTCCATAACTTCTTCGATTGGGCGTTGCTGGGATACTCGATCTTCAAGTTTCCTCGCTTGGCCACGATCTGCTCGGCTGTGAAGGCTCTTTTGGTGTATCTCCATCTCGAGTCGTTCCACCACTGCTTGACAGCTGCCACCTCATCCAGGTACTGCTTCTCCTCGGTGTTGACATCCACGGCTGGGAGGTTCATCTTGCCGGACATGTTGACGGATGAGATCAATCACATGCGAGAGGGGTTCTGTTCTGAAGGGCGGTTCCGCGAGACGGCGAGAGGGATAGAGGGATAGAGGAATAGATATGTGTTGAGCAGAGGGATAGACGAGCAGAGGGATAGATGAACAGAGGAATAGAGATGCAGTGAGAGAGGAAAAGAAGCAGTACGCAAGGTAGAAATCAGAAGTCATAAGCTAGAGAGTTCACCCAGCCGGGCTAGCGGGATCCCCCGCCACGAACCAGGAAGCCATGAGAGCTCTCATCCTCGGCCACCAGCAGCACCAGCGCCATCAGGCGTTTCCAATCCAGTCCGGTTCGGCTCGGCGGGGCAGGGCAGGGCGGGGGTGGGTCCGTGGGCCGTGGGCCGTGGCTGGCCCTGTTTGCGGGACCGCTCTGGTCTGGACTGGATTGGACTGGTTGGGTCTGGTCTGTCTGGTCTTTCAATTCAGAGAGGCCGGACAGGACTGAGATCACTGACCAGTACTGCAGTCACGGGAGATCATAACGAGTGCAGGTGTGCAGGTGTGCAGGTTTGTGGAGTGTGAACGTCAGCTCTTGAGTTGGGTAGATGTACGGTAGCTGCAGATGCAGATGCAATTGCTCACGTGCCACATTCCTGCTCTGGCTGGGGACAATGCAAAACATGTGAGCATGTGAATTCGGACACATGTGAAGATAATGAGGGGCGACCCGGGGAACGGGATCGGGGGATCGGGGGATCGGGGTTCGGGGTTCGGGGGTTCGCCACAGATGCAAGATCCGGCAGAAACCCAGTAACCGAGGCTTCACCAAAAGGGACCTACCGAACATCTTCCGAGATCGGCTATCAATGCTATCAATCGTTGCATCCGATGTGTTCAAGTTGCATATTGAATATCAATCATCCCGTGTAAAGAGCTCGATTCATATCTAGAAGAGACGTGTATCGTAGTTGGGACTACTTGAGCCAGGTCGAGGTGGACGCGGTATTTGAACTTAGACATTATTGTAAGATGACGATGATAATCCAATATAATACTTTGATTCGGCTAAATATAACGAAACTAAGAGTAGCTACTTAGCTATTACGAAGTCGAAGTTGTATCTTCGTTTGGACACTGTAGGAGGAGGAGGATGATAATCCATTTCCACATTGCGTGGTGTCTTTTGCCATGTCCTGGGGCTCGTGGATGACTTGGGCTACCGCGGATTTCTCGAATCTGGAATTGCGGCTCCGTCGAGGTAGCTTGAGCGAGTGCACAGACCACACCACACCCCACAACCCCACCAGCTGGGAAATAGAATTTCGTAGCTTCCTCAGTCCTCAGGAACTCGAACAACTATCTCTCTTCCACCCATTCAACCACTTCAGCCTCTTGCGAACTTCAACTGTTCCAACCTCTTCGATCAGAAACGATATTGAATCCTACGTCTCTTATCAGTCAGCGAGCTGTATCGCTCGCGAATATGGCTGTCGAACGCCTCACCTTTGACCCCGAGGGCGACCTCGTGCTCCGACTCACATACCCATCAGATGCGGAACAGACGAAAATCGCAGGCATTGCGAAGCCGCCGGAGCAGGTCGACATGCTCGTCTCGTCTAAACATCTGAGGCTGGCGTCTCCAGTCTTCAAAGCCATGTTGCAAGGCAGCTTCCGCGAAGGTCAAGCTTTACAGTCTACAGGCAAAGCTGAGGTTCCGCTTCCTGATGACGACCCCGCAGCCTTCAAGATATTGCTCGATATTGTGCATGGCTTTCCCAGCAAGGTCCCTAGGAGCGTGGATCTTTCCACTCTCGCAAACCTGTCGATCCTGGTTGACAAGTATCGGATGCTAGAGGTAGTATCTGTTTACGTCAAAAGCTTTTGGGTCCCAAATTTACGTTCAGCATCTCCGCCAAGCTCAGGAAACATGTTTCCCTGGCTAAGCATTGCTTGGGTCTTCCAATTGAGCGCCGAGTTCACTGAAATCACTAGAATGCTAGCACAAGAAGATAGTTGCGGGCCAATACCACACTTGGATCAAAGGTTTCCAATCCCGGACAAGGTCATCGGTAACAGCTCCATTAAAATTGCATTGAAAACTCGGTTTCCTGACCTTCGATAGCAAAGATTGATCACCAAAGAACGCAAGCGATTGCACCCATATTCAGAGTAATAGATGACATTATCAGAGTGTTGTCCTCTCCTGATCCATATCCCCCACTGATTACTCAACACCCCTTTTCCCAGCAGCTATCGGCAAACATCTGCAATGGGTCTTCGCACTGGAGACACCCCATCAAAAACCTGAACAGTAGATCTACTTGTGACGCATTGATGCTGGGAACAGTTCTGAGAGATGCCACGAAATTGGGCCTCCACCCCACGCCCGCGCCGCCCTACAACGGCTTGACCGTCAAGGATGTCGTGGAAAAAGCCAAAGGTCTTGATATTGTGTCCCTGTGTGATATCCGACAAGACCAAACATTTTATGGAGGGCCCTCAGATTACGCCCATGGTCAGATGAAGCGCATTGCCACTGCAATCAAAGCCGCAGAGGCAGCAGTAACCGGTCTCTCTCTCAGTCTCATAGATCACCCTCTTGATCTCCCTACATCTGGCCCTACATAGAAGAGTATTGTAATAGACTATCATCCTACTACATTATCCAACCTAAGAAACAACTTCGACCTGGCTCAGTAGTCCAAACTAACATACAACTTCGACTTAGCCAAGTAATTACTCCTAGTTTCGCCACATTTGTCTAAACAGGAGTATTGTACTATACCAGTGTTATCCAAGCATCTAGCTCTGGGCTCCCTTCGTACTCAAGACTATATGTGCAGGCCGGCTCCAAAGAGGGAGACGAGTCACAATTTGATACGCGCGGGATCTACACTCCTCCGAACGGGTTCCGGGTTCGTGGCGTGTTGGCGGTGCGAGGCTCTGTACCTAGACAAGAGTCGAAGCTTGGATGTGGATATTCGATATTCGGTTCTGCGGCAGCCGGATTGTTGATTGCAGGATCTGGGGGGGGGGGGGGGGGTTAATGAGTGAGTGAGTGAGTGAATGAGTGCACACACCAGGGCGTAAGGAGGAGGAGGTTTTCGTGGCATTGAGGCCTGGGTTGGGGAGAAGGAGGTGCAGATGTTGTGCAAGCTTCGTGGACCCGGAAGTTTGAGCGAGCGAGTGGGGAGGGAGTGGCTCTGCTTCTAGAGCATGGGTTGACTGATGGTGATATTGGTTCGAATGGTTCGAACGTATTGGCCCCGTTTGAAAAATTGCATGGCAATATAAGGCAAAACAAAAAGGAAGAAAAAAAAACCAGATATGACGTGATCGGTTGAAGGCATCGACTTTGCCTCCCCTGGTGTACAGTACATTTTTCTCGGACGGGTACAGTATCGTCGAAGGGAATCTGTACAGCTGGAGCACGCAAGATAGAGTAGCAAGGGGAGCGCAAAGCTCTCCAAGATGCGCAAACCTCTTCAAGATAGGCAGCCTCGTGGAAACTCGGGAATTTTCAGATTCTAGGGACTCTGGCCATGAAGCTTGAGTAATACTGGACCCGTTCATGAGAGTAGATCCATTGCAAACGAAATCGAGCCCGTCCATTCGTTTTGCGATGTGAGCTCTCTGCTCCTCGATGTATGCGAAGTGTCCATGAGCGACGTCAGGCCAAGGGACGTCGTCGTCCATGTCACACAGCGAGACAATACCAGTATCGAGGTTTGTAATCTGCACGACGACATCTTAAAAAAAAAAAAAACTCAAATCCTTGACTTGTATGGTGGCTGGAGAGGCGGATCAAGCCCGGCTGCAGAAGCAGATTTGAGGAGGGTTCCTAGCATTCGTGCCGTCGCATGCCGAACTGGACCGTACCCCCTCCTCGAAATCTCGTCGGTTTAGAGACCAGTGGGCACACACCGGCGGAGGACTTACTGATACGCGCATAGGAGAGAGACGTCGAAGTCGAGGATGCAAGAATTAGGTCATCTACGGTAGCGAACTGAGCAAGGGCTTGAGTCCGATGATCCTGAGAGAATCAATGCGAGCTAAATATACGTACCGGTAGTAGGTATGTCAACAGGATCGGAGAGGCACGGAAGGGGCTACTACCTAGGTACTCAACAACTCGTCGGGGATAGGCAGGTCCAAGACTAGCGGTTTTAGTGATGTCTGGGAATTCTTCTGGTGATTTGAAGATGTAAGCAAAAGTGAGCCAGGAAAGCATTTCCATGTTCGACATGAATAGGTATGTCGGGGAAGGTGCCCTTCCAATTTTCAGCCCGTGAAAACTTGTACAGGTCCGCCACACCTGGCAGCTGATAGTAGTATTTGCCGACCAGGATCGCTCATCCAGTCACTGTGGCAAGGTTAACTTCGGTCGGAACTCTTTTAGGCTGACCGTGAATAAGGTTGAGGAGGATTTCGAAATGCTCAGGATTATCTCCAGGGAGCGCGCACTTCAACTCTTCCAGTACCGGTACTGCGGAGAATCTGGTACCGGTAGCTCTCTCGAAAACTGCCCTGCAACATAGCCTTGAGAACCGGCGATGCTAGGCTCAGGCGCTTAGAGGAGACGAGCATATCCACTTCTTTCTGCGGCTCAACTGCACCTTCACCAGCACCGCCATGCGGATTCGGAGACTGGACGAGGGCTGAAGGAGTTTGAGGCATCATCAGTATTCTTCGTCCCGGGTACTGACTGTATTCTCTTTTTGCCAGCGGGTACACAAAGCGCAGGACGGGGTCCCCATCGGGATCGAAAGTAAGTTGTTCGATGGGCATTTTCATAGCGTGGCTACTATGCCTTGATCGAGGAACGAGTGCTGCGGAGAAGATGTATGTATGACTTTTGGGGGTTCTGCTAGATTCTTTGAGACTGATGCCAACGAACAAGGGAAGAGAGACACAGTTACCGTTCGTTTGTGTCGTTTGTAGAGATGGACGGTGACCATATAAGAATTGACGATAAGTACGTAGTACCTGAGGTCGAGCGAGAGTCGAGACAGGGTCAGGGATCTGGCCTACTACAATAACTCGCTTAGCCCCGATTATCGATACTTTCCGTAGAGTACGAATCTGATCTCAATTGTTATCGTATTCGATCTCTTCGAAACCCGCACTTTGGAAACTTTAAAAAAAGATAAAAATATAATAATAAAAAAATTCCTCCTCCGCAACTAGCATGTAATTTCGGAGCTAATGCGGCCTCTCCATTAAAGCCCCTTGAGCAGATCAAATTCCTTTCTCTGTAGCCAAACAGCGAATATAATTTTGCATCACTTAATCGGATAAGTTCTGGGCTTCGGAGCCTCGACGCTCGATGGCAAGCAAAGAATCATCGGAGCGCCTCGTCTTCGACCCTGATGGAGACCTCCTACTCCGGTTCACTTGTCCGGTAGAAGAAGACGAGCAGGAGGGTGATGTCGCAAACGATCACCCGCAAAGTTACGATGACGATGGACCTCTCCTACCGTGGATTGGAGATCCTTCCCCGTTGGACGAAGATAAGAGGCATCCAGAAGACCCTGAGGAACCGCATATCTCCGTCCCAGGTGAAGATGCGTCAACGGAGGAGACAGACGCTGTCCTTGTACCAGATGCTGGCTTGGATGGCACTAGCTGCCCTTCTGTGGAAAATGGTCCGCCTCTTCGAACCACGGAAATGCTGGTATCCTCGAAGCACCTCATGCTTGTCTCGCCAGTCTTCAAGGCTATGTTTACCCACAGATTCAAGGAGGGAGAGACGCTTCGATCCAATGGTCACGTGGAAGTCGAGCTTGATGACGAGACCTATGCGTTCGAGATCCTGATGGATATCATCCACTGCCGGATCAGAAAGATACCCGGACACGTCAGCCTGCAGACGTTAGCATCGCTGTCGATTATTGTCGATAAGTATCAAACGCTGGAGCCTGTAGAGCTCCACGTCAGATTGTGGCTACCTGAGCTGAAGAAAGAGTTTCCCACCTCGATGTATGGTTTCTCTACAGTTGAATTCCGTCCCTCCTCCTTCCCGAATCTACCCATTACGACCGGAGGCTCGCATCCACATGAACAACATGTCCTAAGAGCAAGACTCTTCGTAGACTGCCGCCTTCTGTCCATGCGTGGTAACCTTGGCTGATAGAAGACTCGGGGAAATATATAGGTCACCGGAGGTTCTGCCCTGGCTCAGCATTGCCTGGGTGTTCCAACTCGATGACGACTTCATGGATCTAACTCGGATTGTTCAGCGTGAAAGCTTCGCAGGATGGAATGCTGGTAAACAGTGCTACCCGATGCCGGACCGTATATATGGTAGGACCTCTCGATCTGCGCAATTGGCCGTGGAGAAGCTGACATGGGAGCTCCGCTTAGCCAAAGTCGAGGAACAGCGGCAAGCCTGCATTGACGAAGCACTCTCGCTCGTGGAAAATTACATCAGCATATATCAGAATTCGTCCAAGTCCATCTGTCGAGTCCTCCCACGCGACTCGCGACTCGAGTTTGCATGCGACAGCATGGTGCTTGGAAGCCTACTGAAGAGTGCCACACAGCTCGGTCTGTGGCCGAGGACCTCGTCGATGTACCACAATTCGTCGGTGTCCAAGACACTAGAACGAATCACCGCCCTGGAGATCGTCAGCTTATGTAGAGCAGACTCCCTCCGCCCTGATATCGGCTATGATTTCGATGGGATCTCCTTCCCCTCTTGTACCAAAATCAAGCGCACGATCCATAGAAAGCTGAATGCAATTGAGAATCGATTGGTCGGCTTGAGCCTAGATTTCTGAGCTGCTGTTTACGCGCTTGGGGTAGGGTTGAGAGGGTTGACAAATAGAGACTTGAACACGCGAGCAGCGCAACCCTCGATCCTTTATATTTTGTATTTTCTATTTTTCTATTTTTTTATCACCTTGCCGTGCCATCATCGTGTTTGTGACTTTGAGCCATTCGGATCTACGCGAAGCCCAAAAGCGCGCGATCTCCAATGGTCAATTGAAACTCCTCGGTAAGGCTCCGTATGTATGTAAGTATGTGTGTATACATGAACGAATACCATCCGTGGCAATCCGCTGAATCACGCTTGCTTGCCATGCTGTCAAAGATGCAGACCACTCACTCACTCACTCACTCACTGTCTTGTCTCTCGAGCAGAGAGAGCGCAGAGAATCCACCCCCCCCAACTTCCAAGCCATTCGGGACGCTAACCTACCTCTGCTCTGTTCGTCCGTCTCCTGAGTCAGACGAGCCGCTCGTCGCTGCTCGAAGCGCGCGCGGCTTTCAGATCTGACTACCGGTACCTATGGACTACCTAGGGTTGCGGACTGATGAACCGTAAACACAGAGCTGGCGAGTGCAAGAGCGGATAGTTCCATCCGGGGTCTAGAGCAGATAGGTAGGTAGGTAGATGGATTGATAGATAGATAGAGATAGATGTATCTGCTACCGAACGATACGGAAGGAGGTGGTGCTTGCTAGACCTCATGCTTGAGGATACAGGAGGAGGGGAATATCCTGCCTAGATAGCGAAAGTAGATAGATAGTTAGAATAGATAGATAGATAGATTACCTTACCTACCTATCTACCTACCTACCAAATGGCGCATTCACGATCCTACGTGTGACTTAACATACATCCACAGATCCAACGAGTCCCGAAACGGGATTTGCTCAGGCCTGAAAAACCAGCTAGAGGGAGAAGCTGCAAAGCAAGTCCTGATCGGATGCCCGCAGAGATAACGGCAACCGCTCTCATGAGGAGAGGAGGGTTTCTCCCTCGGCCCTCCTCGCCTCCGATTAACCTCTCGCCCTCGCTCGGGCCACACGCTGTCTTGACAGCTTTCCAGCCCCGTGGACGTGCAACGAATACGGTACCGGTAGATGTTCTTGCAAGAGAGCGCCGTCAAAAGAGCATTGACGTAAGACATTAGATCGGTTTCATTAGAGTGGTTTCCTGCATGCGCCTCTCAGGATTAAATGTGAAATCCAGCCCAGTCTAAACCCTTCCCCCACCCCCCAAAAAAAACCCCCGTTCTAAAAAGCCAAATCACCCGAAAACGCCGAGGCCAGACCAGATTGAGAGATAGATCAACGACCGCCCACCATGT